TTCAAATTCAAATGAAGGCACAAGTTTTTAACAGTGAAGATAATTAACTTTGGGAACAACCTCCCAAGGGAACTGGTGGATGCTCCATATCTTGGAGTTTTCAAATCCAGACTGATGTGTTTGGCTAAAGCATCTTCCAGAAAGACAAGTTAATAGGTTCAATAAAAGGGTAACTGGTGGAGTTTAATGGCCTGTGCTGTACAGGTCAGACTAGATCTAATGCTCTCATCTGGCCTTAAACTCTACAGTGCTCTAGACATGAAAGTCAAGCAAGTCCATGAAAAGAGAATGAGCCTTAATGCAGTGAAACTTCTGTATTGTTAAGAGTCTGAATTCAACCCACAAGAGCAAATAAGTGGAGAGAAAGGACTGTGAATTTGGGCCAGCTACTGATGCCCAGAGAATCCAGATGGCCGAGCACTAGTTGAATGAACACAGCTGAATGAAGTACCAGTGGGCAGCCCCAGAGAAGTTACTCCATTCCCAGGCTCTGACATGGTCTGGAGTCAGACCCATAAAGTCACCTGTTCACACCCACTGCTGTCCCGTCTGGGAGGAGCAGCAGCTGCCCAGTTGCTTTGTGGGAGATTGAGGCAGACAGTCAGCTGAAGGGCTTGGTATAAATCTCAGGGGTAAGTTTGGAAGAGAGGAGGTAGCATAATGAATGGCGCATATCTGCTCCCCCCTCCCTTTGACAGTACAGCCTCCTTCCCTGAAAGAAACAAATGAACACACTTTCCTCCAACCCCCTTCTCCATTTCAGCCCCTCCCCAATTTTCCTGGCTGAGTTGCTGCTAACAAAGAGCAAAAGAAAAGAGGTTACAGTGTGAGCTCCCCTTCTGCCTCCCCCTTTCATTGCTTCAGTGCCACAACTCCTGTCCTATTGTTTCCCCTCTCCAAGAAAACAGACCCCAGCGTGGGGAGCTCAGAAGCTTCCCCCTCCCCTGCCATTCTCCCTCCCTTATACAGCCCAGCTGTTCATGTTAGAGAGCAAAACTAGAATTTCACTATGAAGCTGTAAATACATCTAAGCAGCTGATCGTCTTCACCCAAGATCATAAAGGAAGGGAAAGTTAAGGCAATAGCCAGAATAGCCTGGCTTGATCTCCACAAGAAGGGGAAAAGAGCTCATATACAAGCACCTAGATTGGAGCCGATATCCCCCTGTGTGGACAGATTACAGGACTATGAACTCTCCTGAATTCGGTGCTTGTTCAGAGGTAAAGATGCCTTCTTAGACTTTAAGGCCAGCAAGGACCATTATAATCTGACCTCCTGCCCTGCACAGGCCAGGGAATTTCATGCAGTGATTTCTGTACCAAGCCCATAGTGTCAATACATCCTGCAAAGCTGTGCTGAAGTGAGTCACCCTAGTCACTCACTCAGCAGCAGCCATCTTCCCCCTTTCACTCACTCCCTGCCATTTGAAGCAGGAGAGCAGCAACAGGAATAGCAGGGAGTTCCCAAGGCAACTTGCAATGGAGCATTGGGGATGCAGCCCATCTTCTCTGGATACAGCAAGAGAAAGCCAGGCTCCAAACCCCTGGAGCTCTGACTGTGACCCCAACCTTGCTCAGGAGACTTATTTTAAACCAGGCTGGTTGGCCCAGCAGAGCCAAGTACTGATGGAGAGGATCTGGAAGACAAGGAAGTTGAGACAGAATACATTAGTACACATTACTACATATATTGAGACCTCAGCTATGCTCCCTGCCTGCCTGCACCATAAACCACAACTTGACCTCATTTATGCTTAATTCATTTGCAGGAGGCTGGGACCCCTGAGAATCAGGGTAACGAGCAGAGGAAACCGAGATGAGACATTTTTACCGGCTGGACAATGATCCCTGCATGTCATTTGAAGGCCAGTTTTGATTTCCTCCCCCAGAAGTAACAGCTCCATAAAATATTCAACTAGGGACCTCAAGATAACCAAGACCTTTCATGGCTGTAAACAGAGAGGTGTGCAGACACCAGAGAATGGAGTTTGCCACCACCTCATCTCTGTTATCCTGTCTTGCTTTGGGTTGAGATGGCTCATGCTGTGAACATCTGTTCACACCTCCAACATATGAATTCCTATCATGAAAGATCAGTGTGGTCCATTTAATCTGTCTGGTCATGCCAGTGCCAGATTCTTCAGAAGAAGGCATCATACACCTGCTGTACCATAGGGGTCATTTCTTCCTGACTCCATCTGATCAGCTTCTGCCCTGAAGCATGAGGATTGAGAGCCCTTGTCATTTTATCCCAGCTAGTGTCACTGCAGTGAATTCTACTCTTTGTCAGATAAACATGCAGGGCTTGACACTCCACTGGGTGTTCAAAATGGATGTAAAATGCCAGCAAATCAGAATTTTCCACTCTGTGTTTTACATCCACATTGCACAGGTCTCAGTGACAACAAAAGGTGAAAGGCCAGTGGAGAACCAGGCCTGCAATCTGTTTAAAGGGACATTTTCAATTTAATGAAACTTACAAGACAGACTAATGATCACTGTAACCAAAAGATTTGCAAAATATTTCTCTATTGTTACTTTGTGTTTTCCAGTTTCTTCAGAGGAAACAGATTCCCCTGTTTGCATAGGCCTTTTACCCAACTACAATGCAGCCTCTTGAATGGACCATCCATTCTACTCAACATTGAGATGGCAAATACTGGGTTACACTTTCTCTCCCGGGGCACTGCCTCAGTGCCAAGTTATAGGATGGGCTGGGCCAGGAGCCCAATAAAACTCTGCTGGTACTAGTCAGTAACATTTCTCCTGTGAGCCAATGGCAGCCCCATTTGGCCTGGAGTTACCAGTGCAACCTCCTTGTAAAGTACACGTGCTGTTCTCCCCTGCATTGGATGCCCTACGCTAGGTGCAGTTGCATATGGAGTCCCTGGCCAGCACAGCTTCAGGAGTTTTCCATGATGAAGCTCCCACCAAGACATATGCCCCGCTGGGTGGGGGAGTCCCATCAAAGAGGGCACTGCACTCTCAAGATGCTTTATTTCATTGCCCAGCCATCCACAGTCTCCTTCTATGCTTCTTCTCCCTGACAGGTGACGCATGCATTCCCTGCTCTCCCTCTGTGCATGACCCAAGGCGCAGGGACAATCTCTGGGCCCCCTTTGTGCACTCCAGGATTCATGGTGCTGCCATCAGTTCAGAGTGACGATACCCAGAGGGCTCCTGAGAGCAGGGCGTTTACACGGTTCCAGCTCCGGATGACGTAGCCCACAAGCCCACCGACCCCTGGGGCACTCCGCTCGAAACCGGCTGCCAACTAGACATGGAGCCATTGATCACTACCCGTTGAGCCCGACGATCTAGCCAGCTTTCTATCCACCTTACAGTCCATTCATCCAGCCCATACTTCTTTAACTTGGCAGCAAGAATACTGTGGGAGACCGTATCAAAAGCTTTGCTAAAGTCAAGGAATAACACATCTACTGCTTTCCCCTCATCCACAGAGCCAGTTATCTCATCATAGAAGGCAATTAGGTTAGTCAGGCATGACTTCCCCTTGGTGAATCCATGCTGACTGTTCCTGATCACTTTCCTCTCCTCTAAGTGTTTCATAATTGATTCCTTGGGGACCTGCTCCATGATTTTTCCAGGGACTGAGGTGAGGCTGACTGGCCTGTAGTTCCCCGGATCCTCCTCCTTCCCTTTTTTAAAGATGGGCACTACATTAGCCTTTTTCCAGTCATCCGGGACCTCCCCCGATCACCATGAGTTTTCAAAAATAATGGCTAATGGCTCTGCAATCTCATCCGCCAACTCCTTTAGCACCCTCGGATGCAGCGCATCCGGCCCCATGGACTTGTGCACATCTAGTTTTTCTAAATAGTCCCAAACCACTTCTTTCTCCACAGAGGGCTGGTCACCTTCTCCCCATACTGTGCTGCCCAGTGCAGCAGTCTGGGAGCTGACCTTGTTCGTGAAGACAGAGGCAAAAAAATCATTGAGTACATTAGCTTTTTCCACATCCTCGGTCACTAGGTTGCCTCCCTCATTCAGTAAGGGGCCCACACTTTCCTTGACTTTCTTCTTGTTGCTAACATGATCCCTGAAGGAACCCTTCTTGTTACTCTTAACATCTCTTGCCAGCTGCAACTCCAAGTGTGATTTGGCCTTCCTGATTTCACTCCTGCATGCCTGAGCAATATTTTTATACTCCTCCCTGGTCATTTGTCCAATCTTCCACGTCTTGTAAGCTTCTTTTTTGCGTTTAAGATCAGCAAGGATTTCACTGTTTAGCCAAGCTGGTCGCCTGCCATATTTACTATTCTTTCTACACATCGGGATGGTTTGTTTCTGCAACCGCAATACGGATTCTTTAAAATACAGCCAGCTCTCCTGGACCCCTTTGCCCTTCATGTTATTCTCCCAGGGGATCCTGCCCATCTGTTCCCTGAGGGAGTCAAAGTCTGCTTTTCTGAAGTCCAGGGTTGACAAAGCTTGACAAAGCCCTGGCTGGGATGATTTAGTTGGGAATTGGTCCTGCTTTGAGCAGGGGGTTGGACTAGATGACCTCCTGAGGTCCCTTCCAACCCTGATATTCTATGATTCTAAGCGTACAGCCCACCAGCAGACTAACGAAGCTCATGTTCGCTCTGGCTTGTGCCACAGGAGGCTGGCGCAGCGTCTTACAGACACGCTGTCAGTGCCACTCAAGCCCGTTTACACAGCTGCTGCGAATCTCTGAATCCAGCTCCCCCTCCACCCCTACCTCTTCGGGCCAGTCTCAAAGCTAGAGCCAGGCTAGTTTACTCTGGGGACGCACCTCCTGCCCCCTCCCCTTCTGGGTGCTTTAGCGCCTAGAGGTGGCCACAGCAGCCAGCCCCGCCGCCCTCAGCCCCAGTATAACCATTGCACACTGGGGCGAGGCTCACCCCGCGGACAGCTCTCCCCCGGCGCACAGCCAGACAGGGAGATGCAGGCGGCCCCCGGACATGCCCCCCGCCCCAGCCAGCGCCGAATCGGGGCAGCCGGCCGGCCCCGCTCTACCTGTCCTCAAGGTGATGAGGCAGTGCCACACGTCCGGGGCCCGTTTACACGCCTCCCACAGCGACAGCGAGCCGCGCTCCGAAGTGACCCAGGCGGGGCTCAATAGGGCCACCACGTCCAGCGCCAGGGCGACCAGCAGGCAGACGAGGGCGATTAGCTTGAAGGGCCGGAGGACGCGAACCTCGCCCGTGGCCATGCTGCCCCCGGGGATCAGGGGTCCGCGCTGCACCCCGGCCCCGCACCAGGGACCCGCCGGGAGCTGGGCAGTCCCGAAGCGCACAGCCCAGCCCCGTGCTCCGCCGTTACTAGGGCATGCCAAGGCCCTCGGGGTCCTAGAGCCGCCCGCACACAGCCCGCCCCCTCGCCTGGGGGACTCCTCCTCTCCGCAGCTGCTATTTCCACCGCGTCCCCCGCCCGCGTTGTCTCGTTCCGTGTAACCCCCACCCCCACCCACACGTGTTGTGTCTCCTCCTATGCTTAGATTAGAATCTCTCTGGGCAGTGCTGAATTTGTGGCAGGGCTTGCCAGGCTGAGCCCCAGCACCTCTGGGCCTGGCAGGGCTGAGCCCTGACACCTCAGGGCCTGGCAGTTCAGAAGCTCCAGCACCTTAGGCTTGCCACGGCAGTTATGAATGAATGTAAAAAAATTGCTTGAGCCCCAGCACCTCTTTCATTACAAATTAAGCACTGTCATTGAGCCACTCTCTGTTCCCTCTGGCTCTTTACAGCACCTAGCAGATGGCGGTCTCACTCCATGACTAACCCTCTTAGGAACTTTGGGGATACAAATAAATAACCCCGTTCTTCAGCCTACCAGGCAACCCACCAGTGAGATTGGTGGAGGAGAGAGGTAGGAGTTTCCCTAATATTGAAGTAAGACTCACAACTCACCTTTGTGGTATTATCCCATTCTTACAGCTGAGGACAGGGCAGCACAGAGCTCAGGCTAGAGTATTGGGACGGGGCTCAGAACCAAAGAGCAGGGCCACATTTTCAAGACTGCTCAGCTCCCATTTAGTCACCTAAGTAAGTGGTGTGTTGGATACTAAGCTCTTGAAAATCTGGTCACAGAAGACTCCCTGCTGTGTGGTCTATTGGTTAGAAGAGAAGAGGTACCCCAGCTCCCCTTTCCCTACTCCAAGCACTAGCAGAGTCAGACAGCTCTGACCTGGCCTATGGCTTCTCTCCATCTTTCCTGGATCCTGGGCTATGAAATTGAAGAGTTTGTGCTAGTTGAAATTAATAGGGTCAGAGAAGCTCCAGGAGAAATCCAAGGTTTATACCAGTTTAACAAAAAAGAAGTCCCCCCTCCATGTACCCTCCCCCACAGAGTTCCTCACCAACCCAGGAAGAAAGCATACCCAGCTTGCCCATGTTGGGAATCCAAGGGATTGTCTTGCCAGACACGGCCAATAGCCAAGTCAGACCATATCGTACTGTAGGATTAACAGCTGGGGTGTCAAGTGCCTCATGGACATTGTGCAACTGCAACATATACAGATGCCTCCTTTCTCTCATGAATTGCTCAGAGCTCTTGATCATACAGAGACTACCGTCCGCCTCAGAAAGTATTCCAGCAGGGAACGGTCTTTGCTTCTCAGCAGTTTGCCTCGAACTGCCATCACTCAGCCCCCTTCCATGCTCAGTTTGTAGTCCTCTCCCTCCTTTACCCCATTCTCCTGCTCAGTCTTTATTCTCCTCTCCTCCCCCCACTTATTTACCCTTAACCCTCACTGCTGTTCCCACTTGGCCTTAGCTCTGGGCATCACTTAACATTTACATCACCCTAGCTACCTCCACTCCGGGGTGAGAGAAATTCACATACACATGCACACACGAATGCTAGAGGTAAGCCAAGCTAATTCCCCCTTCCCCCTGCCCATACACACACAAATGCTAGAAGTAAACTAAGCTAACCCCCAATGTAGACAAGGCGAGATGAACAGAAAATTATTTGACTGAAGAATTATTCCACCACCACTCAGGGAAGGTGGATTATCAATCAGCAGAATACCCCCTTCCGTTGCTGTAGGAAGTGTCTATGATATGATGCGCTGCTGCTGTAGTGTAGACTTGCTCTCATTCTAGCCTTGCTGTCACTCCCTCATCTCTTCCCCCCCCCCCCCCGCTGCCCCTACCCTATTACCTGTGCTCTCCCATCCCCTTTTACTATATCCTCCGTCCCCACCCTGTTAACCATTTATATTGTGGTAATGCTTTGTGGATCCAAGCACCAGCGCAGGGCCCAGTGTGCTAGGTGCTGTACAGCCCCAGAGAGCTCACATGCCAGGATTAGGGTGAGTCTTGTGACTCCTGTTGGACAGCCCCAAGCCTCTGGCTCAGTGGAGGGTAAGAGGGAGGGGGCATGGGAGTCTGTCCAGTGATCACACTGTTCTGTAGCTAGGTCAGAGAACAAGGGTGGCAGATAATGTGACAAGCCATGAAGGACACCATAGTACCACAGCTCATGCTACAGCCGGTAGTAGGAAAAAGTTAAGCATGCAGGCGTGAGGAAGAGAAGGCATAAAATGAAGAGAAGCCAAACCAATCAAAAGGCATTTAAGGAAAAGGGGAACTTCTCTTGCTGGGGAGTTTGATGGTAGGTCAGTGCCCCACCCCAGAGCTGAAATAAGGGGAAACTCTGCCAGAGCACCAGCCCCCTCCTGCCCTATCACAGGGACACACAGGGCCCATTGAATCCTTCAGGAGCTAGCCCGGACTGGTGTCCCAGCCCTGGTGTTGGCATGAGCTGGCATAGAGTCAGATAACTCAAGTTCCACACCCTGCCCATTACAGCCAGGCCGGGGCTGAGGAAGGGGAGAGCCCAAGTCCGCATCAGTGGCTACATTCCCTCACTCCACAAGGCTAGGCCTACACCCACATGTTCAATGGGCTCTTTTTTTTAACCCTTCTCATACAAGTTTAGGGCTAGGAAAAAGGGCTGGGGAGACAGCACTGGAGCCTGAAGAAGACTGCTGCTTGTCTGCTAAGTGGGTAGCAGCAGCAGTGCTGGCATCTAATTCTGCCTTGTCAGCCATCTTCAATCCAGCTCTGGAGGAACCTTCTCTATGTGAGGAGAGCTCTGGCTCCATGACACAGCCAGTTCTTGTCCCCCGTGGAGCCTGCCAACAAGGCTGTCCACTGATGCCAGTGGTAACAGTGGCTTTGGTGCAGGCTTCCACCTACGGGAACTGGATCAGGATCCAATTTGCTTTGCCTAGGCCACTAGCTGTCATATAGCTGCACAGTCCTGGCACTAGCAGCCAGGCCTGACTGAACTAGTGACTGAAGTAAGGGTTTAATCAAAGAGGTACATCTAGTTCTAGACACCCTCCCCCCCCCCAGGAAAGGGAAGATTCCCCCGCTCACCCTTCACTTCCTGTCCCAAACTGTCCCCAGTGTTGAATTGATGCCTGCCTGGTAGACAAGCCTCTAGCCTGGAGAACCATTCCAGCAAATGGCACAAAGGGGCAGAGCTAAGAAAGAGACACCAGGAGGGAACACAGCTGACTGTTTAAAGTAGGCCACTGGGAGTCCCAAAACCTGGTTTCTATTCCTGGCTCTGGGCAAACTCCTGACCCTCTCAGAGGGTTGTCTCCCACACCCCCACCATCTGTGCAATGGGGCTAATCCTGACCTACCTCCCCGGCTTGTTGCTAGGCTCAGTCTGGCAGTGTTTGTGGAGTGCTTGGAGATTCCCACTTGGAAAGCATTTGAGGAGGTCAAGTAGATCCCAGGCCAAGTGACTCCCTCAGCCTATGATACTGTTCACAGTGACTGAACTGAGCTCTCCAGTCCCCTTCCCTTCCTGGAGGTAGTGAAGGAATACCCCTCTTTCCCCGCCTCCCCCAGCTGTTGGAAGAAGAAAATAGCCTAATCCACTCATCAGTAGTCCCCATCCAGGTTGTTTGTGGCACCCATCTCCACAGTATCTGTGCATCTTCATGCTCTAGCTCTGTGGCCTATTGGGAAGGGACAGAACTACTCCAGCTGGGCTGCAGCAGGAGCATTAGGCACCCAGTCACCTCTCATCTCCAGACAGAGTGGAGAATCCAGTGGCTGCTAAATGCCTCCCTCACGCCAATGGCACTGGGGATGTAATATGGGGACAATGTGGGTGAGTGAGCAATGGAATAAAGGAAGGTCACTTCGCTCAGAGGCCTCACATGGAGGAGAGGGAACAAGGCTAGCTCCTTTCCCTACCCAACACTGCAGCCTAGAGTCACTCAACTAAATAGAGCTGCACTTGCACTGGTCAAAACCAAGTCAATTACCATCATCAGGGTCAGGAGATCACTACAATGGCTATTGGAAAGCACAAGCTGCAGGCAGCTTGCTTTGCTTACAGCCACATGAGATACAAGGAGCATATTAACATTACAGAAAGATAATTAGTGACTTCTGCCTGCTGCTGACAGGGAAAGCTTGTCCCAAGTTCTTGTGGGCACAGAAGTTAGAGTTCCTGTTCAGATATCCGTTTCATAGTAACCTTCCCACCCCATGATCATCAGCAGAGTTGGAACCCAAAACCTTCAGCACTAAAGCTTAGAACAATACCACTTGAGCTAGAAGAGCAACTCCATTAGCAGCTAGCAGTGGTAGGTTATTGTCTTCTGGAGTAGCTACTAGCGAGGCGACATGGTTTAATTTATAAGCATGTTGCACAAGAGAATATGAAGAGACACATTCAGCATGTTTCCTACTACTACCAGTGGGATAGCCGTGGTGGAGACTGCATGCTGCGGCCAGTCCAACTTTCCCTGTGTATCTGCTGAGGGTCTAAGCAAGTGACATGGAATACTGGCTGGGCAGCGACAGAGACAAGCTTGTGAATGTCACCATGTTTTGAGAGAATGAGACAGAGAACTCTGCATACAGCATCCAGCCTGATAGCAGAATAGATGGAAGTGCTGAGAAGCTGAAGCTAAATGTGCCTCAGCACGTCTCATGTGGCAATTTCTCTCTCATACAAAGGGGTTTTCCTCTTTCAAGGATGCTGAAGGAGACAGTTTCTCATTTTGAAAGCTCCTGGGTGCAATAAGCCACCTGTAGGAGATCTGGCTATTCAAGGCATTTATCTAACACCGATAATGGTGACCACCTGAGTCAGTGGGCACTGTCCCTCATCATATGCCATTGATGTAAAATCTCGTGGAGCTGGTATGTACTGTCCCAGTGGATAATGTTACAGGACCAGTCACT